ACCATTTACACACATTCTGTAAGTTTGTTAATGTGGTCTTGTAATTGTGGCAGTCTTCCACACTACACCTTTCAGTGTTATTTGTCACTTTAATATTTAAAATGTAAAGACATATCCAAGCTGAAATTTCACCATAGCAATGAGAGAGTGATGCATTGTTGTAAATGCCAAGATTTAGATGTGATGTTAAACAAAAGCCCTGTCTCTATTCGGGTGGATGTGTGAGATTCCACAGCAATTTTTCAACAGTAATCAAGAAATTTTCCAATCCTTCTGACTGATATACCTTTAACCAACATCACCAAAACAAATTAAATTGTTATTCCTCTCATTTTTTGTGCAACTTCATGTACAAGCGGGATGGCAAATTTGTGCAGAAACATAAACAGCAGTGACTAAAGAATTGGTAATGAATTGATTGGCTGTAGAATGATTCCAGACAAGCTGAGGTTCTGAAAGGTAATTCAGTTTAAGTTCTTTCTCGTCATGTCCAGTTACTGACATTTGAGCAGACTTAATACCCTTAATTTATAAAAGTGTGTTTAGTTTGTCTCAATATTCATGTTTACTACAGTGTAGTATTGTATTTATTAATCTTGAAATATAGCTGGAACATGACGTTCTCTCTAGTCCTTAGAAATAATGTCAAATGCTCCATAATAAAATTATTACTCGCCCTTCCTCAGTAAGGGAGGAGCTGTTAATGTAAATACTTTTTTGATTCACCAGTTTGGCAGGAGAATTAGTTAACTTGGTTCTCCTTCATTCAGATTATTTGGAAAAAACAGCACACAAAGCCATTTTTAATGCTTGAAATGGGAACATTCAGCTATGTGACTATTGAAATATGTTCATAAGAGAGTTTGTGAACTGGAACTGCTGAAACAAGCAATACACCCACAGCCCAATTATGATCCTGCAATTATTCTATGCCTGGACTGAAGGATATTGGAGTTAGGAAAGCACTGTTGTAAATAAACTCAATTATTTTAAGCAAATCAACGTGTGAATGTGTTTATATAAAAATATTTTATTCTTCCTAAATTTATAACATCATTACTCATGACTTATGGCCATTTAACAATATTGGCAAGTCAGATAAATATACAACTGAATGTAAGAAAGAAAGATTTGTATTTTAAAAAGTGTCTTAGTATCCAAACATACTTCATGTACGATTAATTAATTTGAAGAGTGATGGCACATTGTGTAGGTAAATGTGGCAGCTGTTTTGTGCAAGATGCCCGAAGTAGCAATGGGATGAATGACGTACTCTTTTCAACTTGCTTGGGGGTTTAGGGCATCAGTGGCTGGGTCAGCTTTTGGTTGTCATCCTTTAACTTCCCCTGAGAAGGTAGTGGTGCACTGCCTTCTTAAACCACAGCAGTTCTCGGGGTATAAGGATGCTCACATTGCTGATACAAAAGAGGATTCCAGCAATAGTGAAGGAATAATGGTACAGTTTCAAGTCAGGAACATGTGTGTCTTGGTAGGTATGGTATTTCCATGCATCTGTTGCCCTTGTCCTTCTTGGTGGTAGAGATTGAGGGTTTGGAAGGCATTTTCAAAAGAGCCTGGATGAATTGTTGCAGTGCAGCTTGTAGATGATACATATTCTGGCACTGTACACTGGTGGTGAAGGGAGTGAATGCTGAAGGTAGTGAATAGAGTGCCAGTCAAGCAGACTACTTTGTCCTGCTTGGTGCTGCACTCTGGAGCTCCACTCATCCAAGTAATTAGTGTGTATTCCATCACATCCCTGACTTGTGCTTTGTAGATGCTGTGACCAGTGGAAGCTCTCAGCTGTGTCCCTTCATAGCATACTTTAGCACATCGGCACTCAAACTCTCAGCCAGCAAACTAACATATCAGGATGCTATCACACAGAAACCAGGGGCTGCAGTTGGTTTTTAACTCCTTTCTTGTGTTTTTCAGATTTGCAACAAATGGGGTTCCACAGAGATCAGTGCTGGGACTGCAAGTGTTTACAATTATTTTATTTCAAGGGGGTTGGAGTATAGGAGGGGAGAAGTCTCACTGCAACTGTACAAGCTACTGGCGAGACCACATCCGGAGTACTGCTAGCTGTTTGGTCCCCTTATTTAAGGAATAACATCATTTCATTGGAGGCAGTTCAGAAAAGGTTCACTAGGATGATCCCTGGTGTGGACGGATTATCTTAAGAGCAAAGGTTAAACAGCTTGAGACTCTACTCACTGGAGTTTGGAAGAATGAGAAGATGTTTCCCCTCATGGGAGAGTCTAGGAGCAGAGGGCATAGTCTCAAAATAAAGGGGCACCAATTTAAGACTGAGATGAGGAGGAATTTCTTCTCTCAGAGGACTATGAGTCTTTGAACTCCTTGCCACAGTGGTGTGGGGACAGAGTCCTTTAGTATATTTAAGACTGAGATAGATTCTTCATCAGTAGGAGAATCAAGGGTTACAAGGAAGGAGCAGGAAAGTGGCTGTGATGAATGTTGGATCAGCTACGATCCCATTGAATGGTGAAGGGGCTGAATGGCCTACAACTGTTCCTATATTTTATGGTCTTATGTCATTCACAGAGAAAGGCTTTTCTTTTAATTTATAGCGTGTGTTCAGTCTGGGATACAGCCCGAGAGAGATTGATTTTTTTGAGGGGGTGTAATTAGCCCCTCATTATCTCTGTAGCCATAGGGGATCACAGCTCAACGTTTTGAATAGCATCTCTCCTTTGAAACGATGATATCTGAAGTTACCTTGACACTGTTCAGATGTAGTAGGAACTGCAGATGCTGGAGAATCCGAGACAACAAGGTGCAGGACTGGATGAACACAGCAGGCCAAGCAGCATCATAGGAGCAGAGAGGCTGACGTTTCGGGCCAAGACCCTTCATCAGAAAATGGGGAGGGGAAGGGGGTTTTGAAATAAATAGGGAGAGAGTGGGAGGCGGATAGAAGAGGGATAGAGGAGAGGATAGGTGGAGAGGAAACAAACAGGTCGAAGAGGCGGGGATGGGGCCAGGAAAGGTGAGTGTAGGTAGGGAGTTAGGAAGGGGATAGGTCAGTCCAG